ACTGTGTTAAGGAGAGGAAGGGAGAAGAATAAAAAGAAAAAGAATTGTGCTTTTCTCTTATCTGGTTCGACATCCTACCCTAGTTGAAGGGAAGTGGCATTGTCGAGGGCTTGCGGTGTGGAGTGAGTCGCAATTGAAGCTAAGAAGAGGTGATCCGTGGCTCTATCGAGAAGAGGAGTGCTTGTTGGGTCGAGACGTGAAATGGAGGAAGGAGCTGAAGCCTCACCTACTTTGTTGGGGTGAGACGAGATCGAAGGAGAAAAGAGAGTAGAACGAGTGCTGCAGTGCTCCCGTGCACTTCCTCCTTGCTGCCCCTTTTTTTGGCACCCTAAATCAGCCCCACACACCATCTTTCACCTCGCAAACTTAAAACCTAGCTATGACACTGAAGATACAAGTGTCAGAAGCAAAGCAGGAACTAACCATAGAAGAGATGCATCGGGAAATCCGTCTACTTCAGCAAAGACTTGCTGAAACTGAGGAAGGGATTTCTAGAGAGATTACCATTAATCGTGATAGTGAGATTCAAAGAGGAGAGAGGACAATCTGAATCTCTTCTATAGGGATGATTCCAGTGAAGAGAAGGACAAGCCACGAAGCTTTGAGATTCATTGTTAGAGGAGGTCGAGAGATGGAGTGACTTTTGGAGGATATGGAGACATGAGGGTAAAGGTAGAGTTATTGAATCTCGAGGGGAAAATGAATTTGGATGAATTCATTGAGTGGTTGCAGAATTTTTAAAGGATTTTTTAGTCTAAGAATGTGTCAGCTGATAGGAGAGTGAAATTTCCTGCCATAAAATTGAAGAAGAGTGCCTCTCTATGGTGGGAGAATCTAAGAAGAGCGAGGAGAAGAGAAAGTAGGAGCAAGATCACCATATGGGAGGAGAATCTTGAAGCTTCACCAACTAAAACAAAGAGATTTGTCAGTGGAGGAGTTCATAATAGAGTTTGAGTAGCTCATATTGAAATGTAAGCTGACATAGCTATAAATGCACACTATAATCAAATATATGGGAGGTCTGAAGCCAACAATAAAAAATGTTGTCCAACAACAACGTTATTGGTAGTTGGGTGATGTTCAGACTTTAACACTGAAAGTGGAGGGAAAACAAAGGCAGAAGAGGCACCCACCTCCACTTTGATAGCCACCCCACAACTAGAGGTATCAACAGGAGCACACTTGAGGGAGGTGTGAAGACTGATGAAAAGGTTGACCGAGCTAATGAGAATTGGAAGAAGTCTGAGAAGATTAGCACACCCAGTACATTTCCAGCCATGAAGTATTTCAGGTTTGATATGGACACATCGTCTCTGATTTCCCTACTAGTAGAGTTCCTTCACCGAGCAGGGTACAATAGAGGATGTGAGTGAGGAGGAGGTAGAAGAAGAGCAGGATGAGGAGTATCAACTCCATGGGGATGAGGGTGAGATGTTAGTTGTAAGGAGGGCTCTTTAAACTAAACGTAACAGGGGTTACTCTTGATTGGGACAACATCTTTTGCACCAGGTGTGTTGTGAGAGAGAAAGTATGCAACCTTATTGTTGATGGAGGGAGTTGTTAAAATGTGTCGCTATAGTTATGGTGATGAAGCTGAACTTGGCTACTCATAAGCATTCTTAGCTTTATTCTTGCCCTGGATGGAGAAGAGGAATGAGATATGCATGGATCAGTGATGTTTGGTAAAGTATTCTATGGAGGACCTGTTGTAGGATCATGTATGGTGTGATCTACCCATGGATGTCTGTCATATTTTGTTGGGGAGATCGTGGTAGTTTAATTGGAGGACTTAGCATAATTGGTTCAAGAACACCTACTCATTCACGAAGAAGGGGAAGCATATAATTTTTTTTACCTATGAAAGAGTTTAGAGGAACTGACACTCAAGTTGAAGAGGAGACTGTGGTCCTACATGCCACCTTTCTACAGTCAGTGCAGGAGGTCCCAGTGGCAATGACCTCGATCATCCTAGAGGGGGTTGAGGAGGAGACTTGAGTTATCAGAGATGATACAAACACTGCTAGATGCCTATCAAAATGTGATGACTAACAACTTACCTGAGTGACTACCACTGCTTAGAGACATTCAACATGCTATAAATTTTATACCTGGATCGTGTTACCTAACAGAGCCGCTTAGACATTTATACTAGCTGAGTTTGAGGAGCTTCAATTGTAGGTAAATAACCTTGTTACTAGAAGGTTGGTGAGGGAGAGCACCAGTCCATGTGATGTTCCTACTTTGATGTTGCCTAAAAAGGATGGTTTGTAGATGATGTGTATTGATAGTCAAGCTATCACTAAGTTCACCTTCAAGTGTAAATTTATTTTACCTCACTTGGATGTTTTTTTTTTGGATAAGTTGCATTGAGCTGTCATCTTTTTCAAGATTGGTCTGCATAGTGGACATAACCAAATCAGGATGAGGCTAAGGGATGAATGTAAGACTGTCTTCTAGACTAAAGATGGGTTATATGAGTAGGCAGTCATGCTCTTTAGACCGTCCAATGCACCTAACACTTTCATTAGGTTGATGAATCGAGTGTTCAAAACGTACATTGTAAAGTTCATAGTTGTGTACTTTGATGATATCCTAGTCTACAATAGATCTAACGAGGAGCATTTACAACATATGAGGATTGTATTTGAGGGTCTTCAGTTGGAGAAGCTATGTTCCCTCCCGAAGAAGTGTCACTTCATGATGGAACATACATGCTTTTTGGGTTATATTGTATACAGTGCAGGAATTCAGATGGACCCTGTGAAGATAAAGACTATTATGAGTTGGACACCCTCACAGACAGGGTTGAGGCAATTTTTGGGACTGGCATTCTCTTATAAGAGATTTATTAGGAGCTTAAGACCATTACGACTTTCTTGACTGAGCTCCTGAAAGGAGAGAAGTTTCAGTGGATAGAGGTAACTGATCTAGCTTTGACATCATGAAAAAGTGCTACTAGATTTCAATCAGCTGTTCAAGGTGGAATGCAATGCTTCTAATGTTGAGATTGGAGCAATGTTGAGCTAGGGAGGGCATCCAATAACATTCTTCAGTGAGAAGCTGAGCCACTCCAGGAGGAATTATTCGACATATGATAAGGATTTCTATGTTATTATGAGAGCTCTTAGTCGTAGAAGTTACTTCATGTTGGCTAGTGAGTTTGCCTTATTTACAGGTTATGGGCTTTGAGATTCCTGAACAGCCAAAGCAAGCTAAAGGATAGGCATGCTTTCTAGGTTGAGTTTTTTATTTCATTTCAGTTTGTGCTCAAGCAAAAGATAGGGAGTTAGAATCAAGTAGCAGATACCTTGAGATGTCGCCACTTACTGATCACTTTTATGCAGGTTAGAGTTGTAGAATTCGAGGTGGTGATGGAGCTGTACAAGGCAAATGAGAGCTTCAGGGAGATTTGGGGTAAATGTCGAGAGAGGCCTACAGGACAGTATCATAGATCTGATGGCTACATGTTCCATTAGAACAGGTTGTGTGTTCCCAGATGTTCATTGAGAAAGTCCATCATACATGAGAGCCACGTTGGAGGATTAGCAGGTCATTTTGGCACTTGTGAGGGAATATTTTTTCTTGCCTAGGCTAATAAGGGATGTAGAGATATGTGCTAGGTAGTGCAGAGTTTATAGCCTAGAAAAAATTAGGGGGCATAATACATGGCTATACACATCATTACCAATACCATAGGCTACATGTTTGGATGTTAGTATGAATCTTGTTGTGGGCCTTCCTACGATCAACAGAATAAAGATTATGTGATGGTAGCGGTTGAAAGGTTTTTGAAGATGTTTTATTGCATTGGCTTTATAACAAGGAGCCCAAGCCAAAAACTTGAGATAATAATTTATAATTCCCTCAATTTTCCTGCAACAATGGCTTACATTTTTGCAAAACAAAGACATCATTTGACGTCGAGTTGGGTTAATTGCTAAAATGTCCATTTAATCATCATTTCCCCTATTACTGATTGGTTTAAAGTTGACCAAGATAGAGTTTAGAAATTCCATGACAAAATTCACAAAATTCATTCGATGAACTAGGTTATTTGTAGATATGGGTTTTCTTTTGTTTGTGGGGTTTGTTCAACAAATGGAACAAAACAATTGACTATTTGAAGTCTTAAATTTTTTTCGTAAATTCAAAAATAATTTGCATAAGCATTCTTTCCCTTCTATCATCTTCCACGTGTATTTTCTTTAGCATGTGAAGAAGCACATTGTCAAGGGAGGTTTTTTTTGCTATTACGTGCTTCTTGTTGCAGCCTTTCTTGCTCTTGTTGTTGCAGTTCTTCCTTGTTTGCTCTTACTTTTGTTGTTGTTGTTACTAATTGCCACAACCGACTTCTTATTTGTTGCTTCGCTGTTTTACTACTTCCATGTCAATAAATTTTAGGAAGCTTTACTTACACGTCACTTAATTCCTATGTATATACATGTCTAACTCCCAAGCTTCAATTTTTACATATATGCATCTTACTTATGCTTACAAAGGAGTATTTCACTTTTTAAAAGTTAGTCGTGGTATTTTTATGTGATAATATTTTGGTGGCATAGATGTAAAATATAAAACTTAGGTGTTAGATGTGAAAATACATAGGAAATGGGTGGTCTATATGTAAATGCCCGTAGATTTTGTCCTGTTGCTAAATTCTGGTGTTCGATTTCGTTAAGATCTGCAATGGATGACACAGGCTTATCCTAAGGCAAATAAGAGTGGACTTAGTCCTATATCACATAACTGAAAAGTAAAATTTTGTAAAAATTCAAGTGGTTGATCCTCGTACATAAAAACGTTATATCTGTTTCAACTTCAACCCCCCTTTACTTCATCCATATGGATTTATTCATGAAACTCCTTATGAACAACATTATTCAAATCCTTCCAAATTTCCGAAAACATTAATTTTCAATGTCCCTCTATTTAAATTTATTTGTTTAGATTACTTTTAAATAAGCACTTTTGCAATGATATCTTATTACGATTATGGACAGATTGCTATTTTACAACAAAAGCATGGAATGCACAGAGTGTGGGAGCTGCAGCAATTCTAGTTGCTGATGACAAGGTGGAGCCATTGATCACAATGGACACACCTGAAGAAGACAATGGCCGAGGAGATTACTTGCAAAATATATCCATTCCATCGGCACTTATCAGCAAAACCTTTGGGGATAGTCTTAAGAAAGCCCTGAAGGACGGCGAAATGGTAAGCGTAAATTTTGATTGGAGGGAATCGTTACCTCATCCTGATGACCGTGTTGAGTTTTGGACGAATGGCAACAATGAATGTGGCCCCAAATGTGACAGCCAAATAGACTTTGTTAGAAGTTATAAAGGGGCGGCACAGGTACTCGAGAAAAAGGGTTACGCCCAATTTACACCACATTATATAACTTGGTATTGCCCTGAAGTTTTCCTTTTGAGCAAGCAGTGCAAATCACAGTGCATCAACCATGGAAGGTACTGTGCTCCTGATCCTGAACAGGATTTCAGTAAAGGTTATGATGGGAGGGATGTTGTGATCCAGAATATTAGACAGATCTGCTTGTTTAAGGTTGCTAATGAAAGTGGAAAACCATGGCTTTGGTGGGATTATGCGACTGATTTCTCCATTAGATGTCCAATGAAAGAGAAGAAATACACGAAGGAATGTGCTGAAGATGTGATGAATGCATTAGGTAAGTGAGTAATGTGTCAAAATAGTTCTCTAACTATTTACACGAGATCATTTTAGTCCTAGAATCTATAAAAGTATCAAATTAGTCCCCAAGCTATCTAAATTATGGATGAATTAGTTCTTCGTTTGGACTAAATGGTACTTTTATAGACTTTGGGATTACAATGACCCTTGCAATGAAGTCACGGGACTATTTTGACACTTTTCTCTTAGGTATGTGAACAGATTGTTTTTGTCAAAATTTTAAGTGATTCATGCGATTAGGTTGATGTTTTGTGTTTCAAGTAATGTTCTATTTGGTTCATTTCATTTTTTTTTTCACCCTCAGGTGTTGACCTTAAGAAGGTCAATGATTGTATTGGAGATCCTGAGGCTGATGAAGAGAATGCCATTCTGAAGGCTGAACAAGATGCGCAGGTCAGGAAAATATGATGTATATATAAGAGTGAACTGCATAAATACTGTTAATCTGACCATGTCATCTTATCCAAATTTCTGTGTCTTTCACTTATGCTCTCATTTATTCTTGCTTTCAGATTGGCAAGAAATCCCGCGGTGATGTTACTATCCTCCCAACGCACGTCATAAACAACCGGCAGTACAGAGGTGTGTTTGAATTCGCTTCTACTTTTTGTAGTGTGGTCGTATTAAATTTACGAGATATCATCATAATCAGGATTGTTTTTATTGTTAGTCAACATTATGATGTCTTCTTGCTCGCAGGCAAGTTGGATAAGAGTGCTGTGCTTAAAGCAATCTGTGCTGGGTTTCAGGAAACCACAGAGCCAGCTGTGTGCTTGAATGAAGGTTGGGATGACATTTGTTGAGTCATAAACAGATATTTTTTCTTACACTTGGATATTTCTTCAAATATTTATGATTGCATTATCATTTTATACTTTTTCCTTTTTTTAGGAGCATTAACATACATACCACAAAATTCTTATTTATTTACATTTCTAAAACCTAAACATTTATATTTACATGCATACCACTCAAGTATTTAACATTACATCAAAAATAACATCATAACTATCTTTTTAAAAGTTAAATACACGTTTTCATGCATAGTTTTATGACACCAAGGTGTTGTAAGTGTAAATATCAAACTCTGGATGTTAGATATGTAAATACAGAAGAATTATGTGGTATGTATGTAAATTTTCCTTTTTTTTATGATTGTCTACTGCTTATTCTTATTATTCTTTAATAGACATTCAGACAAATGAATGCTTGGAAAACAATGGTGGGTGCTGGAAAGACAAGGTTGCTAATATCACTGCCTGCAGGGTATTATCAGTGTTTTCTAAGTTCGAAATATTTTTCATGATTATTACATAATGTTTCAATTTATTGGTGAATTGGCAAATTGTAGGATACATTCCGTGGAAGAGTTTGTGAATGTCCCATTGTCAAAGGTGTTCATTTTGTTGGAGACGGATATACTCATTGTAAAGGTATCTAACATATTAAATATTGAAACTAAATTTTATCTTGGAAAATAAAATTGTGCTGGATTTTTAGTTATAACCTGGCTGAAAAATAGCAAGCCTTCAGTTTGTGATAGGATTTTCCTTGGATCTACGACTCATAAATCTGATTCTCGTGAAAGAATTATGGAAGCATTGAGGAAGATTGTTGTTAAACTTGAGATATTCATCTAATTTCTAAATTATGTTGTTTCTGCATTCTTGGAAGAGTGATTTTACGGCTCGAATGTGGAAATATATCCAACTTCATGTCCTTCTGCAGCTTCCTATTGTGAAAGGGGGATTAAATACCTTTTATGTTACAATGTAGCATGACAGCATAAGAATATATAATTTCTTTTATAAGGATTTTGTTTATATTATAAAATGCTGGCTTATTATGTATATTGGCAACACCATATTGAGAATCATGTAGACTTATGTCATTTTAATCATTCTATAAATCAAACTAAGGCATTGATCTGTCTTCTACAGCTTCTGGATCTGGAAGATGTGCAATTAACAATGGAGGGTGCTGGAAGGGAACTCAAGGCGGCAAAACATTCTCTGCCTGTTTGGTAAGTGTGTATTGGTCATCAATGTTTTTAGGAATATTTACATACATACCACTCAGTTGCTATGTATTTACATATTGAACACCTAAACTTTAATTTTTACATACATGTCACGTTTACGAATGTACGAAAATGTATTCCGCTTTTTAAAAGTTAAAATAGTGGAGTTTTCTATGTGATATGAAATATTTGGGCACCGTAAATGTAAAAGGTAAAATTTAGATGTTAGATATGTAAATACATAGGAATTAGGTGGTTTATACGTAAATGCCCCATGTTTTAAATGGAATGTTCTTGGCGTTTTTATTTTAAGAAGTTTTAAGCTTTTTCAATGCAGGAATATGAAGCAAATGGATGCAAGTGCCCTGTAGGCTTCAAGGGTGACGGAATTACAACTTGTGAAGGTCTTTATATCCTTTCTATCATGTAATTATACTCCCCGCATTGGTTCTCGATGTAATACTACATCGAAGATATGTGAAAAAAACAAAAGAAAATAGAAAAACCTTTGAGTTTGAGCTTCTAATTTTTGTTACAAATATTGTGAAATCTAAAGTTGCTTTTTCTTCAGATGTGGATGAATGCAAAGAAAAGATTGCCTGCCAGTGCCGGGATTGCAAGTGTAAGAACACATGGGGAAGCTATGAATGCGGCTGCCGTGGCGATCTTCTTTATATGGAAGAGCACGATACCTGTATAAGTGAGTACATTTTAAAATGGTCTGATTATTTTCATGAGATCATTTTAATCTTAGAGTTTATAAAAATGTCAAATTAGTCCCCAAATTCTTTTAATGGAGGTTGAAATAGTCCCTCCTAAAGAGTCTGGTGGCTGTTTCAGCATTTATTGAAAGAATTGGGAGACTAAATTGAGAACTCTGTGAATAAAATAGTCCCTTGCGACAAGCAGTGGTCATTTTGGCATTTTTTCTTAATTTTCTTTTATGGAAATTAGGTGCAATTAATGTTAAGCCAACTTTTACTTCTGCATACCACCACAAATCCAAAACAAAAAAATATATATATGTAATTTGGTTTCCTTGGTTTCAAATTGTAAAATTTGTTGCAGGCAAGAAGGCATCATCAGAAATTAGCTGGAACTTCTTGTGGGCCATTTTATTTGGATTAGAGGCTGCTGGAGTTGCAGGATACGCAGTCTATAAGTACAGGATCCGGGTAAACAAATCTTAAAACCAAATTTCAACTCCCATTTGCGTAGATTTTTATTTTTTATACAAAGTATGCTTTGGCTAAACTATTTACAGATTTTCTTTTTTGTTTCTTTCAAGTTTATAAGTTCATTTTTAAGGGCAATTCATGTCTTGTAAATTTTAAGGTAGTGTCCGATGATTCTTTATATCATGAAATGTGCAGAAGTACATGGACTCGGAGATTCGTGCCATGATGGCACAGTATATGTCATTGGAGAGCCATATAGAAGCACCAACAACTCATACCCGCCTCGCTGATATAGTCTGATATATAGAATATGTATATATATATATATATAATGGGCTATAATCTATACTTGAGAGGCCGGTTTCTATGTACATATAGATGAGTTATGTTATGCCTGGTTTTTTTTTTTTTGCTAGACTGATGCTAGTCAAGGGGTAATTATATAGAGTAAATGATGATCATATTATGAGATTTTGCCGAATTTTATTATGCATGGATGGCTGTCTAAAAATTGTGTCAATGGTATGGTGCTAGTAGCGTACCAAAATCATGAAGATTCTAGTTGATGCTAATTTTGGAGAAATATATAACGCATTGGCAGAGTTGGAGTAGCGATATTCTGTGATGGAGAAGATCATGGGAATGCTTAAATGCTGTTTCAAATACTGGACATTTACATATCAGCTATTTCTATCCCTCAAAAGTCATTTATATCACATTAAAAATCACTTTTATAATTTTTAAAAAATTGACATGCATATTTTTATGCATAAGTATGATGGCCTATATGTAAAAATGAAAATTTTGGTGTAATATAAATACAAAAGAAGTGCAAATTGCCCTTCGAATATTTGGTATGAATAGAATTAGCTTTTGGCTGTTAAATCTACTTTTGAGAGTTCATTTCGCTTCAAAAAATGAATCCATCTTATATTTAAAAAACAAAACGTTAATAGGAGTCTTTATTTCATACAAGTAGTGAACAAATACTAACCAAATCAAACAAATGTTTGAAGGTTCAATTGTGTTTATTTTTTCTTTAAAATAATAAAATTTAAATAAAACCAGACTGGTCCTAAATTAAAACTTTTTATGGAAAGTATTGTTTCAGATACGCTAAAAATTTGTACTCCTATGAACCTGAACACAAGCTGCTACGGATTTAGCCCTATACATCCTTTCCCTTTCTCATAATTTCAACTTTACCCAAACAAAAGAAAAACTGATGTTTATATAAGCTTATAATTTATCTCCTAAAAAATGGGATAACGATTTTTAAACACCATAAACATTTCATAAAGATTTACTGCAATTATTAGAGTAATTTTATCCTCAGGCAAAACAAAGAAGAGCAACTTCTCTAGAATTTCTGAATCGCTACAAGCATTATATGGCATTGAGTGGCAGAAAAACGGCAATATATATATATATATATATATATTATATCAAAATCTATAGCTTACATAATACCAACTTGATTTCTTCCAACCCCAATGAAAGTTATCTTCCTTAATCCATGAAATTCAGCTGAATCCAGAGACAGAGTGAATCCCATTAAGAACTTCCCAACTGTTCTGTAAGATGCCATGCGTTTAGTTGGAAAAATGTAAATAGAGATTTGTAAAACTAAACAAGAGATTCAGACCTCCTTGGGCTTGTTATTTATCAGAGCTTTCATCCAAACTTGAACTGTGTGTGCTTTCATCAATCACTAACCTATACACATAGAATGCTAGCATTGCTCCGCTGCATGCATGGAGATTAAAGTTAAGCAATAGCAGAAAAAAAGAAAATGTTACAACTCATTTACAATAGTCATTGTAAGTTAAGAAAAAGATCTGGATTCATCATGGGGCTGAACGAAGAACAATTGCGATAAATGATGGTAATATGAATGGTCTTTTATGCCTTTTGAAATGACAAATGTATCCAATACCTTCATGAGATTGATAAACAAAGTTCCAAGTCCATTCATTTAAAAGCTTTTGGTGTACTTTAATAACATGAATTTCTTGCTCGATTGAGACTGAGCATCTAGATCATTTAAATTAGAGGTTGGGAAGTTGTACATAATCTAAAAGTAAACATTTGCACGGTCATAAATAATATTTAGATGCATTTACATACATGCCACACAGTTCTTATATATTTACATAATTTAACACCTAAACTTTCCTATTTGCATGCATAACACTCAAATCTATAACATCACATAAAAAATCCATTCCTCCTAACTTTATAAAAGTAAAATATACTTTTTTATGCATAGGATTATAACACCAAAAATGTTATAAATGTAAATATTTAACTTTAGGTGTTAGCTATGTAAATACATAAGAATTGTGTCTCATGTATGTAATTTACCTAATAATTACGAGCTTATGATGTCATTCAAGGATATTCAACTGGATCTCTCAAAAATCAAGGCAATCCTTGATTTACAGGTTCACAACATTCTACCAGCAGTTCAGTAAGAAATTCCACACTTGTTGAAGATATTGGTGATATTATTTGCTGCCAAAAGAATTCATCCTCATTTCTAATCAAAAGGATTGGAGTAATAAATATGTCAAGTGAAGTGAATACTTTCAGGATTATCCTTGCCCCAAAACATACAATGGATGCACTAACCCGATTCTCTTTACTCCACACTTCTACACATTGATGTTGCTTAATTTTGACAAAATATGAGACTAGCATGTAGAATGACTTCATTGATTTATCAAAATCACAAGAATATGCATACATTCTTTATGTTTCTTTAATGGTTTGAGATGGATATCTTTATAAATGAAGTGGAATTGGCATTTTTCAGAGTCAATTGGAATTAACACAATGGTGGTATGGCAAGTAGCATAGGTTACAATAAGATCATACATTTGCTAGGGATATATTTTGTTATTTAGCTTTTTTTTTTCTTTTTTTTTGCTAGGGATTATTGTCCTTTGGGATTTTGCTGGAATAAATTTTAAGCTTCATGAATGCCACATGAAAAAAAGTTGTCAGCACACGTTTAAAAACCAATTGTCTCCCTCTCGTTGATTTCAATGGTTAATTTGTCTATGATTTTTTATTGAATTACCAAAGACTATTCGTTACCATAACAATATACTAGTGCTAGAAATTAAATTTTCTAAAATAACTCACATTATTTTACGCTCCTACTCATACATCTTATTTTACAAAATTTTATTTAATAAATAGTTAGTTGCATGAGTTACCCAATACCATAATATCTCATATAGATGCCAGCATTATTTTTATTTCTAGAAGACCTTAACAAATTATTAGGTAGTAAATGAAGCAACGTTTGCATGTCCTTTTCTTCAACAAAGGAAGCATTGAATATAGTAAACTAAAGGTATCCTGAAGTCTATGGTAGGGAATAAGAACTCATTTATAAAATAAAGATGATCCATCACCTAATACTCTACTCAAAGATGAACCTTTGGTGACAGATCATTTTCAATGCATTCAATTGAATGCAATAAGAATGCAAGCCTCAAAAGATTTATTGAAGACGATCAAATTTATGTTTGTCTTTTAGTCTTTATGATGTAAGAGTGTACATTCTCATTAAGAATGGTTTAAATTTACTGAACGAAGTTATTGCCATGATTTGAATGGAAGAAGAGAGAAAGGGAGTCAATGCCAAGAACCTCATGGAAGGTTCCACATTGGTAATAAGGGCTGCAGACATCAAGCACTCTCATTAAAAAGCTATCTTTTCTCAAATAACACAAGCAAACTAAATCCAGTAAAGATACTCGATAAAAATTCTCTACGGTACATATATTACAGAAAAAGCTTGTCATACAAATGAAAGATGTTAGAATCTTCTTAGCAAACCACCAATAAAAAAATTGGACAACAGAAGGAGAGGCACAAAAACAAAAACGCGCATGCATATAGAAAAAGATTACAGCAAAATCACCCACCACATTCTACAAAGAAGGAAAATAAAAAGGTTGAAATTTTTATTGGCATCAGCAAAAAAGACTCCTAAGATCGGTGTTTGTTCTCTTCCATCCTCAGGTATTGTCTTTTCTCATGCTTCTAAAGTCTCAATTATATATAATTTCAATTACAGGATTATTGCTTAAAAGGTTATACAACCAACTCATCACACAAACTTATTTCATAAATTCCCTATCCCAACAACAAGAAAACAACTATTGTGGTCAACCCTTGATAATCATTCAACAACAACAATAAATGTTTATCCCATTAAGTGGGGTCAGCTACATGAATCCTTTTTTCTCCATTGTGTCCTATTGAGTGTCATACTTTAATTATTTAATTCTAATATTTAATTCTAATAAATTAATATCATTTTTTATTCCACATTGCCCAGATCCATTTAGGTCTACCTCTACCTTTCTTAATATAAGTCAAATTTAAAACATCTATTCTCCTAACTGGATCATCAGATGATCGACATTTAATGAGACCAAACCACACCTAAACCGACTCTCTTTAATATTGTGTTGCATTGGAGCTACGCCAACCCTTTCACAGATGTATTCGTGAGTGTAAAGCAACTCATTCACCTAAGCACTCTCATCTGAACAATACTTAACTTATTTTTATGCTTTCTCTTTTATAGGCCAACATTCTGTGCCATAAGCATTTCAAGTCTCAACACGATCTAATAAAATTTTTCATTTCAAGTCCAAGTGGTACTTTTCTATCACACAATAGGCCTGATGCATTCCTCCACTTCAGCCATCCAACTCGAATTCGCCATCCAACTCGAATGCCATCCAACTCGAATTCTATTAATAACACCTGATCTATATCACCATCACTTTGAACAATAGATCAGAGATATCTAAAACGTTCTCTCCTTTTAATGATTTGATAACCCATTATTGCAACTCTGTCACTAGATCTACTACTGCTAAAAATTACATTCCAGGTATTTGATTTTAGATCTAGTCAAACAATGGCCTTTAGACACTAAAGTAGAACTCCATAATTCAAGTTTTTCCTGAACACTTTCTCTAGTCTTATCCACACAAAAGGATATCATCAACGAAAAGCATCACCTAGGTACATCCTCCTGTAAATGTCAAGTAAGAGCATCCATAACTAAAGCAAAAAGATATGGGTTTAAAGCCGATTCTTGATGTAATCCAACTAAAACTTGATGTAATCCAACTTAATCCAACTAAAACAACAAAATACTTGGTTAAACATCCTTCTGTTAGAACACAAATAGCACCTCTAATATATAGCACCTCTAATATATATATTTTTAATAACATGAATTAAGTCGTATCAACACTTTTTTTTTTCTAGAACTCTTTAAAGAACTTCTTTTGGAACCTTATCATAAGCTTTTTCTAAATCAATAAAATCATATGTAGATCATCCTTACTCTCCATACTTCTCCATCAAACCTCTCAATAAATGTATAGCTTCCATAGTAGACTTTTCCGACATAAATCCAAACTAATTATAAGAAATTTTCGTATCACGTCTTAACCTATGTTCAATTACTCTCTCCCATAATTTTAATGTATGACGTCTTAACTTAATTCTTCTATAATTTGCACATTCTTGTGCATTCATTTTATTCATAAAAATGGGAACCAAAATACTCTCCATCCACTCCTCAATCATCTTTTTAGCTTTAAAAATAATATTAAAAGTTAAGCCAAAAAATTCTCAAATCCTTGACAATCATTGCCTGCCAAAAAAAATATTTTTATAAAAAAATCCCCAAAACTTTGAAATATCTTACATTACTTAAAATATTTATCAACTTGGTATCAATCCAAATAAAAACATAGTAGTGTGTTTTAATATTCACTTATCTATTTCAAAAACAAAGCATTGACGGGTGATTGAGCATACCAAAAAAGAGACGACCCGTACCAGCTTGAGAAATCCAATGATCCAGCAATCTCATCTTTTCTTTCCAAAGCTTTTGAAACCAATAAAGTAAGAATATGGACTCAAAACCGATATTTTTGTCCATCCATCCTTTGTTATTTTCAAAAACATATTTCTTTTATTATTAAAAAAAACCAATATCAAATAATTTCATCATCATATTTGTGATTTAACAAAACACAATATGGTGACATCTGGGGCATTCCTCCAAACCTAACATCATGATGGTTTGGTTGCTTGTGTCATTTATCGATGATTCCACCCATGTACCATAATTTTTTTTTACTTTAAACCAAATGATGTTTAGTATCATTTTTTACATCTTTTTCGCCTAGCGAAAAATAAATTTGGTGTTGAAATTAAAACCGTAAAACTAGTAATGCCGGTCTTTTTTTAACCAATCTATCTCATTATACTTTCAGAAAAAAATGAATAGGACATAAGGCTTCTTATATGTAAACACCCCGATAAAATGAGATGGTTGAATTGAAGCACAACCACCTACTTGCCACCACAAGAGCTCTATGTTTTCAAAAGAATGTTTCAAAATAGCATTAAAGAGAAGTTCTTTTAACCAGCGCTCACATCATAAATTGATTAACTAAAAGGGTCTCTGGATTCAATAGTTCTAAATCCAGATTATTTAAATGTTGCCTTATTATATCTATATCTATATCAATATCTATATCCATATCTATATATATAAACTTGATCCAACTTTCCTATCTCTCACATAAATAATTGCAAGTACTACCAACCCTCACAAAAAAAAAATGATGCACTATCTGCAAATATCACTTTTAATAAAGATCACTATTTTACTGCTACTTGTCTCAAAAAAAAAAAAAATCATTCATAAATAACTTTTTTCCTCCCAGATTACTCTTCTTTATCTCGTCCTAACAAGCAAATCTACTTCAAAGCTAACAAACCCTACAAAAATAAAGCCTATACCATACCACCTACTCAGCCATTTTACTTTACTAGCAAAAAAAGGTATATCAATCAACATGGGTAAAAACAACTGAGTTAACAAGGATATATAATATATACATATAGAAGAATAAAAATATAAATAAGGATATATTAGATCATTTTCTCCTATTCTTTTTTTATAATTGTTAATGTCCTCCATAAAATGTTAAAAAAGATCCTGTACTAATGATTGGGCTTGTTACTTTAAACTTTTCCTCAAATTGATAGCTTATAATATACTAATGATAATTTGTCATTTCATGATGCCTATTCATTGAAAATAATATTCTCAAGAATCCCTTCAATAACTTTAAGGAGATTTTGAGCCTTGAATTCAGCTTCTCAAAATCTTCTTTGATGTACCTTGATAAAAAGTCAAGCTTGGGATTGATCTTTGATAATAATATTGGATACTCATTAGAATACTTACCATTCAAATACTTGGAGATATTCCTTTGAGCTTTAAAATTTTCAAACATGCCCTCTCATTGACAGGATTCAATAGAAGCGTGAATCTTCACAAAACAATTTCCTCCCAAATACCATCTTTTATTCCTTTGTACTATCTTTCTCTCTTCTAGATTCCTAAATATAATAAAAAAATGATAATATCAGAAGAAATTTCTATTGGAGATGCATTGATGATACATCTTAGTAGAGGCATTAATCTAATTAACTATAAGAACATTTGAAACCTTAATAATATTGGGGGCCTTGGTATTAAGGATCTCAGGACAATAATTTATCCCAGTCAAAAGATTGACATCCTTTCATGGCTTTCAGCGATAGCAAGTAAGGTCTCAATTAGTTCCTAGTGCTCTTTCTTAATGATGAGGAGTACCAATCAAAAAAGAAAAAAATGTTCATGAACTTTGCAAATTAATTGCACCTCTCAAAAGTAAAGTTTTATCATGTTTCCTCTTTATAAGGATGATCCCCACCAACGTATAGCTTCTATTTGAAGGGATTGTCACTTTTACTCCAAATGACACTTGTTCTTGGAAACTCAAAGATAACATTCATATCATTTTTGATTGTCCATTTATATATGATATTTGAAAGAGGCTACAAAATTTTTTGGCATTTAATGTCCTATTGTTAGCTTGGACTAGGTCTTCGTTTGGTAGAAAGGAATATAACAAGAAGAAATTAGAGAAGTATAGTGTCTTTTTCTACTCTACCATCTTCCTCGTATGAAATGAAAAAAAAACGCTAATTTTTTCCTAATAAAAGAAGGCTGACAATTTTTTTGGATTGGTGTTATGAATATTGCATTCTAGAATCAAACAGACTTAGGGCCAAGATGAGTGAAATCAACAATAGTATTGAAGAAAATTATTTTTCATTTCACCATAAATGTACATTTTACTACCTATTTGCTTTGACGCTATACTTTGTTAGCGTGTTTCCATTCTTTCCTTTGTGATTGTTCTAGAGACTTTCTTGTTATGCAATGAGAATGGCTCATAAAGCACTTTCATCAAAAAATAATAATAAAAATAAATAAAAGTTTGCAATTAAAACTAGGTGTTCCAAATTAATGAGAACAACAAATAGTACATTCTGATTAGAAATTTCACTGGAAATAAACGTAAATTTTTATTAAAAAAAATATTGAAGTTGAATATGCTAAAGGGATTTGAGTTTATGATAATGTGGTCAATATAGCCAAGATAATAAAAAAGAAATAAGAATATTAAGATAAATGTGTGGTAAAAATATAAATAATAGATTAGAAAAAGATTTATTGAATAAACAGTGAAAGTAGCACGCATTAAAATTAAGGTAATGGTAAGCAAGTACAATAGAGGAATGGATGGTAAAAGATGCGCTAAATAAGTAGAAAATATATGTGTAAGGATTATTAAAGAAAGAAAGTAACAAAAGTAACATTGCTAGAAGTCTCACATGATAAAAAAAACAGCGACAAGGCTAGAAAATGAGATAATAGAAAACGTTTTGCAAAATATCATTAGCATGCAGCATCTCTTGTACCACTCAATAGGGATGAACAGAAAATGAGGGATCATATATCCACAAGTAGCTGGAAGAAGGCTAATGAATATTATGATGACATTTACAGTGATGGTAATATGATTTACTCGATCACGAAGAGCTATTGAGACACATACATGAAGAATACATGAATGTCCTGTTCTTAACAACATTTTCTATGATAACTCAAGACCTACAGTCCCAAAAATGAACTCTATTGAACGCCCAAGCAAAAGAAAAAACTAATTAAACAGAATACTGATCAACATGATCCAGTTGAATTAGAACGGAAATTGCAAATATATGAATTAAAAATTCTGCTATTCGCAGTAAGATAAAACATCATTACTGAAAAAAAGAGGCATTTACATACACACCACCCAATTCCTATGTATTTAAAGATCTAACAGCTAAACTTTACTTTTTACATTTATACCACCCAAAGCTTTTATATCACAACAAAAATACTATTATTTTAACTTTTAAAATATGAAATACTCTATTTCATGCATAACTAAGGCGGCATATATATATGTAAAAATTGAAGTATAGGTGTTGGTTATGTAAATACATAAGAATTGTGATATATATATAAATGCGTCTTTAAATATCATGATTTTAATGAAAATTGTATAAGAATAGTTGGAAAAAAAAAGTAACCTTATGAAAGTCATCAAGAATGTTGGGAAGGATTTAATCTGCAAGAGCAAACAAATAATCAGAAGGAATGACACTTCCTATTCAAGTGAGGTCAATGACTCTGATGTACGGAGACATTTTATTTTTTGCAAATGACAAAGTTGTACCTTTGAAAACAACCGCCATTCCCGTATAAATATAACTGTGGCAATTGCTGCAAAAAAAAAAAAAGAAAAAAGAAAAACAATTAGAAGATAAAATTCAAGCTAACATTGTGTCAGAAAAGAAATATCAATCTTGAATCCTGCAACACAAAACCTTAGCACTAAGATTTTGGTCAACAAAAGCAGGATAATATATGGAGAGGATAGCTTAACAGAATGGATTGGTAATTAACGCCATGGCATACACTGACAAAACTTATTAACTTACGTGCGAAACCAAAGTTCTGAAATTTTGGTCAACGAAAGCAGGATAATATATGGAGAGGATATCGTAACAGAAATGATTGGTTATTAATGTCATGACATACATTGACAAAACTTATTAACTTATGTGCTGCTTGACCTCTACAAATATTAATTAAGAATAAAATACACAGCATACTAACTTTTCAAAATCTTCTTAGAAATACAAGCAGCAGACTGTCAAAAAATTGTTAAGGTGGAAGCCCTTGAATTATTAAGCTAGATGCAGTTGCTCTAGTAAATGCAAAGACATGCTTCAAATAAGCAGTTAAGGCCTGGAATAGCAGAAAGTTTTCAACCTACTGAAATTTAAGAGAAATAACAGATCCATGTAGATTAGAATTATCAAATTACTGAAAGATTAGGCACTTTTTAATATACGTATCACCATCAATAATATTGTTAATTATTTTAAGATTTTGAAAGAGTTGGGTAAAAAATTAAAATAGTTTTGATCAATTTCAATCCTTCAATCTGCTTTAGACTACAAGAAAATAATAATACCACGTTATATAGGCCATACAAGAACCATGCGGTCACATACTCAAACATGAAGCAGCATAGATGACGTGACAACAAAAAAAAAAAAAAAAAAACTTTAGTGGTTGTTTGGGATTATTTTTATTTTATTTTGTTTATGTTTTGATTAAAAAAAAAACACATTTGGTATGATATAAAAAATATCTAAGAGAAACGTATAAGCAGTGTTATTTGAGTATTCTCTTGCATAGTGAGCCTTATAGTTGCATCATAAATATATAAAAAAGAAGATACAAGAGGATAATCTTTCTCGTATCCCAGGCATAACATTATCCAACCTTCTAGTAACATATTGTCAGGCCCTACATCCTTATTTATCTTGTCTCACACAGTCCATGTATACATCTTAGAATTTTCATATTTAGCATAATACAATCATATCTTCTGTTTTTTACATGATGCTGGAGGTGAAGGGACTACATTCATTGCAAATGGCATAATTAATGTATCATGTTGCTCCAAGGGCACAAGCAACTAAAGTTTTGCATAAACTAATAAAACAATGCAACAAGTAACAAACTCTTCAATTGAAAGCATTTAAAAAAAAACAAGTACATACAAAAGGCAATGGATGATGTAAACTTCTCAGTTTTAGTAACGTGAACTCACCACCAATTTAACTTCTCAATGTTCTATATAAGCAATATAAATAGTGTTAGAAGCTTACTCTAGCCACATAAGACTACATCAAGCAGACCGACAAACTAAGATCAAACATTAGTTTTATCAGAAATTATGCCATTTGAGGATGAAGTAATCGTTAGTTGGTTCTAAATTCATTGAATGAATATCTTGCTATGAATATTGCTTCAATTAGAGAAATAACTCTGATTATGAAACAATAGCGTAAGCTGTACAGACATGTGATATGCTGTTAAGCGATTAAATTCATCTCTCTTTTAGCCAATTTTTATTCATTTTCCTCTCATGTCAATTAAACATTAATAATTCAATGGCAAAAGGAGCACATTAAAAACAATAACCATATATTTTCTCTTAGAACCTATTTGGAGCAACTGCAGATGTTTGAAGAAATAGTTGTGCAGCTGCTGTAGAAGAAGTTGTTGATAATAATGTTGTCTGTTTGCTTAGTCCAACTGCGCATCAGCTGTGTTGAGTTATTTTTTAATAGAGACTATATTGCCCTTCTATATATATGATATATGTAAGCTAATCATTTCAAATTAACACACACATAACAACGGATATGAAAATTTGAAAAATCACAAGTCCAAAATATTACATAAAAAATTATACATCACAAAACATTAAGGAACAAAAAATTAAAACTATAACAGCAATAAGTAATATTATTATAATATTACTTTTAAAATCTAAATGGTCAAGTTTCTACCGGAAAACATGCACTCTAAAGCTACTCTATTTCCTTACAAAACAAGAATTTATTAAAGAAAAATAGTTTTTATTAAAGTTACAAAGACGTACTTACAAGAACAAACAAATACTAGTAACAGCAGTAATACAAAGATAAGTTAAAAAAAATGAGGTCTCAAAATTCAATATAAATATGCAATAACTGAATTTTTAATAAAAGGATAAAAGAAGAAGAAGAAGGAGGTGCAGGCGGTTCGAGACACAACCCCTCATAAGAAATTTATGGCTCACTCCTTCGCACGTCCCCTCATTCGAATCACGAATGAGAGAAAGAGAGAGAGCAACAGAGGAGAAAGAAGAAGAAAGAGGAGGAAGAAAAGGAGTGGAGAGTATCCTTACCTGAAATGACGCCAAACCCTAGCGAGTTGGTCGAGGACGTGAAGAGGTCACGGCTTCCAGCGCTGCCATAGTGCGAAAGAGGGGAGGGAAGGAAGAGGAGAAGTCAAAGGAAGTAGAAAATTTTGTGTTATGCTCGCGTACAAAGATCGAAGGAGGAAGCATTCGACACGGAACCATGGCTGGCATGCATTGCTCAGGATTGTACCATGACGAAGAGGAGGGAAGGAGGATCTTTAGATTATTGTGATTGTTTCTAGATGCTTTAATTTTATTGCACTTTGTGGATTAGTGTCTTTATTATATATTGGAAGTTTCTAAAAATTTTGTAGATAGTAAAAATGAAATGTTAACACCGATATGACCGGAGTTCCCACCTTGGTTAATTCTAAGCACCGGGTCCGGTTATGACAAAAGTGCTATCAGAGCAATTAAGTTGGATCATGATCTAAAAGAGCTATTAGATGGTTATATTAATTCATAAGAGATATTAATGAAGGGTGGTTAAATTGTGTCTAATTTTAATATTTCTTTCATTATTTCAGAAATATAAAGAATCAGGGGGAAGAACCTGGAGACGATATGGTAGAAGTTGAGACACCACCACAGATTGCAGTGAATATAGATGCATTTACTGAGATTATGACTATGGTAACACAATTAATTAGAAATTCTCAGCCTCAAAGCTAGTTTCAATAAGTACTTAGAAATTATTTCAGGATACGAGGTCATCTCTCTTTTCTGGAGAAGGATGTCCAGTGGATATTGAAACAAGTTGTTGAGAGTAGAGAAAATCCTAGTTGGATTGTCTTGTCCTCCAAAGAGGATGGTTACACTGGCTACATTCCCATTGGAGGGAGAAGCTGAGAGACGGTGGTGTGGTCAATTGCAAGAGAAATTTGAGGGTAGAGCTAGTCACCTGATTCAGTGGAATGACTTGATACTTTTAGAGACCGGTTCGTACCACTGTCAGCTGAATCTTCAGGAGGTATGGTAGACCAAGAGCAGCTGAATCTTCAAAATCAGTGTCAAATGCAGGTCAGCTTCAATGAAATATTCAGTCCAGAGCATATGCTCTTTCGCAGCAGGAAGCTAAGGACTCTCTTTGACATCATCCCAGGTACATTTCGCTCTTTAACAATTTTAACCTAGTGCATTTTAAGCATCATAAGATTTATGTAATGTCATACATAAACAACTTAGAATTTAAATGTATTCATAAGCTGACAATAAATTTTTCATGTTATGATTTTAATGATAGGTATCATATATCTTCAGAGTAGGCCAATAAAAGCATTGTTTGATTCAAGAGTATGACATTTTTTTATAGATGAGAAGCTGGTTAAAGTGATGCAATTGAATGTTATGTCAATGTCTGTGATATTATCGGTTAGAATGTCAAATGGTACTTTTCTGGAAGTTAATCAATCATGTGAGGAGAAGCTTATGATTGACGGAAAAGATTTTGAGGCCTAACTTATTGTATTGCCCTTAGAGGAGTTTTAGGTGATTTTAGCCATGGATTGGATGTTAAAATTTTATCACTATTGATTGCAATGACAAGACCATAAAAATAAATGTTCCTGGAAAGCAGAAGTTAAATTTTCTGGTGATAGAGGATTGACATCTATGAGAATTACATGTTTGAAGGCTTTTAAATTGTAAATCGCGAAAGTCATGGTTTTCTTATTCAGGTAAAAAATACTTCTAAGGAATAACAGTCTTTGGGATATATTCAAGTGGTAAGAGAATATCCAGAGGTGTTATTTGATAATTTACCAGTGCTACCGCCAGTGCAAGAAATTGATTTCACTATTGATCTATTGTTAAGCCCTACCGAATGGCAATTAAGGAGTGCAAAAGCTGAAAAGCAAACTGCATAAGTTACTAGATAAGGGATTCATCTGACCTCGTACCTCACCTTGGGGAGCTCCAGTATTATTCGTAAAGAAGAAGGGCGAGAACTTCAGGATGTGCATTGATTATAGAGAGTTGAAGAAGCTCACGATTAAAAAAAAATATCCACTGTCGGGGATTGACAATTGGTTTGACCAGTTGAAAAGGGTCTTTATATTTTCAAAGAGTGATTTGAGATCGGGCTATTAACAACTGAGGATTAGAGAAGAAGACATAGTGGAGACCGCTTTCAGGACCAGACATGAGCACTATGAATTCGTGGTGATGCCATTTGGATGCAAATGCTCCAGCAATTTTCATGCACCTAATGAACAAAATCTTCAGGCAATTTTTAGATACTTTCCTGATTAATTTTATAGATGATATTCTGATGTATTCAAGTGATGAAGTCAGTCATATAGATCACTTACATGTGCTACATGTTTTGAAGGAGAATACACTTTATGCCAAATTTTCTAAATATGAATTTTGACAATGCTCCAACAATTTTCATGCACATAATGAACAGGATCTTCAGGCAGTTTTTAGATACTTTCCTGATTATTCTTATAGATGATATTCTGAGTCATATAAATCACTTACATGTGCTATAGGTTTTGAAGGAGAATACACTTTATGCCAAATTTTCTAAATATGAATTTTTGCTTAAGAGTATAGCTTTTCTTCAAAATGGCATATTTGTTGATCATAACAAGGTGAAGGCGATTGTAGATTGGTTGTGATCTACTACTGTTACTGAGGTCAAAAGTTTTCTAGGTTTGATTGGTTATTACAGAAGATTTGTCGATGGGTTTTCAATGATCGCAATGTCGTTGCCAAGGTTAACTCAAAAGGCATTAAAGTTTGATTGTTCTGATCGTTGTGAGGAGGTTTTTCAAAAGTTGAAGACTGGATGTCTGCTCCAGTTTTGTTCATTCCTTCAGGTTCGAATAAGTTTAGATTTTCAGTGATGCATCTTTGAGAAGTTTGGGTTGTGTATTTATGCAGCATAGTAGGGTCATTGCATATGCATCAGAGTAATTGAAAAATCACGAAAAGAATTTAAGTTGAATGGAACTGAAAAAAAACCAATCTGGAGGATAAGACAATCTATGGAGGAGGAAGAGGGTGAAGACCTAAAGGATGAGAATGGAGAGGAGTACTAATTTGTAGCCTCCAAGCAGAGATGTTAGTAATTCAAACTAAGCACATGAGAGAAACTCTAGCAGAATTATCAAGGGTTATCCTAGAAGGTAGTAAGTTTGAGATAATGAATGTTGATAAAGAATTTGAGGATGTGATTCCACGAACTACCTTTTTGCATGTGTTAAGAGAAGCATCAACAAAACTGACATTAGTTGTCCAAGATTGTCACGAGTACAAAGAGCTAACACCAGACAATGGCAACCCCAGATAAAAACATTTCAAGGTTTTCAGACATACAGTCTACCTCCTAAGTTGTTATTGCTTAGAGAGGTTCGATATGTCAGAAATAAGAAAATTTTGAAGTATATCTGAAAGGCTATATGGAGTAATCTGGCTGCAAAATTTTAGTTCAGTTCAAAAATTTCATTCCACATAAATAGCCAGATATGGGTAGTCAGACGATACCTCAAAAATCTTGAAGTGTGTTTTATGGGAAGGACTATTCAATAGTGCGATCCAAGCCCTTCCAAAGAAGAAGAAAAAGCTTCTCATAGCCAGGAAGAATTAGCAGGAGAGTATCGGGGATCCCATAATCATATTTTCGGGGGAGTCTACAGTCTGCGGGTTCCTCCCACGATCTCAAGAATAAATGGCCCGAGAATTTCATTTTTTTTGTTTATTTCCTATTTTCTGCAAGTTTCCTTCTTTCTTTCATTTCTAATTTTCTTCCTAATTCTCTATTTTTAAGTAGGGTTTTACTTGATGGATTTTTTATATGTTATTATTTTCTAGTTTAGTGGACTTTCGAAAATTGTCATTTAGTTTAGAGATTGAATCTCTATTTTATGCTCTCTAGAGTTGTGTAGTTGTATCTTGCTTATAAACATGTGGCAGAATCTCCTCGCAGCCCGTATCTCACCGTTTCGCCGTCCAACTGATTGATTTCAGCCGGGACAGATGTAGAGGACGGCAAACCTGTCGTCCAACAACAGATTTATCCCAGCAATTCATTCCAAACACTAGTGAACTATTAGCCTTTCCTTACTATTTCACAAACACTTCCCCGTGAAATCCGCTTCTTCAAATATCTTCTAAGAGCTCTAGAACGATATCAGTCAGTTATTATTCTCATTTTCTAATCTTTTATATATTTTCTAGTAGACTTTGGTGCTCCAAATCCCATTGGTCTAAGTCACTCCTGATAAAACCACGTAAAGCTCGGTATTCATATCTATGTGCTTGGGTTTAGTGATGTCTATCATATTTTTGTGTCACGCTGCTTTTTTTAAACACTCAAAGAGTGTTTGGGCCTCTATTGTACAAAAAAAATGATGGAGTAAACTACTCAAATGGCGTTCATAAAATAATAGCTTTAAGAAACTACGAGAGAAATTTCAAGGCATCAAACAAAATCTATATGTAATTAAGACAATGGAAAAAGATTGAAGCTATCGAGTATAGACAGACCAGCTTGCCCATTCAAAAATAGTCGTGAAGGTTGTCCGCTCCTCCAAGATCTTAAACTCAATATACCTAGGGCCAACAGGAAACTACCAAGAATAGCACCAAACCGAATTGCTGGTATGCTTCCTGTCAACATAAAGTTAAGAAAGCCCCCAATTGCAAGTAATGAGCCTACAAAGTAAAAAGGTTTACACGTTAGAAATCACCACTGCCTGGAACAGCATGAAGGTAAATTATGTTCTGACAAACTACCATAAAGTAAATTTACAATATAGGCTGGGGGGTTTCAGATCCATACCATAAGGAATGCCAACATAAAAGTCACGGACTGCTGAATTCAACTCATCTGGTGCAGAGGCAAAAGTTTCCACTATATCTTTAACAGATTCAGGAGAATTAACTGCTGCTGTAGAAAGATAAACTTGACTTCCTTGACTTATTTCTTTTGCTACCATACTCAAGTCACGCCTTGTTTTGTCTGCTTGAATCTTCAAAGCTTCAGAAGTCTCTTCCAATATTGCAATTGCTTTCTTTGAGTATACATCATATGCTTCCTGTGATATCTCTTTCATCTTCTTAGCTTCCTCTTTAAACGATTCAAGGGTCTGTTTCCATGCTTCCTGTGAAGCATCTTCTTTATATTTTAGCTCGCTGGCCTTCTCCACTTCTATATCTGAACGATTCTGCATATAATTGGAAGAAGAGACAAGTGAAAGGAAGAACATAAGGCAAAAAAAATAAATAAATAAAACTCGATGAAATAGTGGTTGATAATAAGTTTTCTTAAACAAAGCATCTTGTCCATGATCAAAAGTAACTTCAAGTCTTACTGAAAAAAAATTAGCACTTCAACTAGCTGACTATCACAGTTAACTCTTAGACTATTTGAAATATACTAATTCAGCAGATAAGGTGGTGAATCAAAGCCCCCATTTGTTGCTGACTTGCACATAGAAAACCAAAGCATTTTAATAGTGAAGGGGCTTTTACAGGCATACCATAAAATTATTATGTATTTACATATATAACACCTAAGCTTCATATTTACATGTATAGCACTCAAATCTTTAGGGTCACATACAAAATACCACTATTTTTAACATTTTAAAAGTAAAATGCACCTTTTCATGCATGGGTTTATGCCACCAAAGTGTTATAAATGTAAAAATGAAATTTTGGGTAAATACATAAAAATTATGTGGTACTTATGTAAATTTCTCAATTGTAAAACCTCCTAAACTTATGTATCATATGTAGCATAGCCCATAATGGTTTCCATTACAATGATAAACAACATCTATGTTAAACACTAGAGGACACCTAAAAATGGATCGGTGAACTCCCATCCAAATCTTAAACAAACATATTGGCTTTTCTTCTCTAGTAACACTCTACAAAAATAACCGCTTCCAAAAGCCAATCACAAATTAAAAGTAAAGTATAAAAATATAACAATCTATATCCACCACAATACTCAAAAAAAAAAAAAAAATTACGTATAAACAAGATCATTTTCCTTCCAAATTGTTTCAATTCAAAATAATGTTTGAAAAAACAATGAATTTAACATATTCCATCAATTAATTGGATGGAATTAGAAATCAATATTATTTTTAAAACCTAAAAGCATCTTCAAAGTCCTTCAAATATGATGATTTCAATTTCCACATAAAATAATTGAAAAAAAAACATCACTTTCCAAATAAGTCATAATAACACGTTATCAGCATCCACTCCTCAAAAGGCAGAGGCAAAAACTTAAAGCAAGATACAAAAAATTTCCATTTATATCCACAAAAGAACGGTCCAAAAAACAGACAAAAAACTTCTTAAATATATAAATGGAATTCATTTTCTTGACAAACAGATTGATGTTAGAATACATGTTCTGTAAAACAATGAATTTAATATAAACTCTTTCATTGGGCTGGATGCATTTAAAAATTAATAATATTTTAAAACAAAACAAACACCATCAATTCCTCAAATGTGATGAGCAATTGAGCACACAAATCAGTAAAAAAAACAAAAACGAAATCACCATTTTCTAAAACACATTTTCTCTCTACAAGCAAGAAAATATGCCCTAATAAGCAATAACACTTGATTAACACTCCCCAAAAGATAGTCGCAAAAAATGAAGCAACGCACCAAGCACTCTCAATTTATATCCACCAAAGAACAATCCAAATCGAACCAAAAATCATTTTTTGAAGGTATACACGCATCCATTTCTCCAAATTTCACGAGGGCTCATTGCCTAGCTTCGGTGTGTGTATAGAACACACGAATCGGTTATGTGGAGAAAACATCCTCTCCACTATACATGGATCCTTTTATTTAGAAAACGGTTTCTGAAAATGATAAACATACTGAAATCCTTCATTTGTTTCTCTGCAGCCAGAATCAATGATGAATCCAAATTTTTTGTACACAAAAGAGCTTAAAATAAAATCACCATTTCCCAAAACTTATTCTCTATCTACAAACAACCGTCAGCCCTAAAACAAATTAGCAACGCAAATGCAAACAATTGAGAGATCTGGAGAAATGCATTACCGACTCTTCATGCGCAGTTAGCGGAAGAAAACTCGGAAACCGCCGATTCAATAAGCGTATTCGTGCCCCAAATCCACGCTTTGAGAAATCACATCGCCTCAAAATTTTCCAAGCCTCGGATCCAGAGCTTGCAGACAACGAAGCGCAGGGGAGTGTGCGTGAACTTCTTGAGTGTTGTGAGTAACGGCTAGGGTTAGGTTTCAAGGTGGGAATGAAGGACAGGTAAGCGGCAGCCATTGCGGCTGCTCCGGTGGAAAGAGAAAGCAGCTGGCGATAAAACGAAGCGCAATGGCGAACGGGATACCCGAATTCGATTTTGTGTGGGGTTTGGGCGAGGTTCTTCTTCCTTCTTTTTTCCGTTTTTCTTATTTTTCTGTACAAGAAGGGGTCCTGTGAGTTGCTTACTGAATTTGTTACAAGCACGTTCGGACTGTTAAAGTTACGACGATTTATTAGAGTGACAGCTGCTCATCAGCAATCGATCTATTTTTAATATTGTTAATAAAATTAAATTTGACGAGTAATGCTTGGCTGGGTAAGAAAATGACCGGTTAGCGCTGCACTGGATTTCTAATATACCTTGACCCGACTTCGGGTTCGCAAATTTCGATTAACATGTGTGTTTGTTTCTCCATTTTATGAACAGTGTAGGGCACCAGCACATGTGAGTGCAATTGATTTTATGGTAGTTATAATTTTTCAGTTTATCAAAATAATTGTCAAAAAGATTTTCTTGCGAGAGGATGCCGGAGTTCATTGAAGAAATTCATATATCGTTCGGGTTAAGCAGTTCAAACGCGCGAAACAAACAGAAAAATGGCATTTTCAAAATGCCGTCTGCGGCCATATGCTGCCTCAAACGGGGTTATAATATCTTTTAGATTAAATGTAAATTTGTTTCAGTTGATTCGGTGGATGTTGTTTAAGATTAGTAGTCCAAATTCAAAATTTAATTACCTATTTAGATCAAGTCAAATTTGCTAGTTGGTTCCAAGTGAGACCCAATCATAACCTTACTGAGCACTCGCCAAACTCAAAACCAACTCACCAAATCAAAAGAGCTCAGTCACAATAATTCAAGTCAGGGAGTTACTTAGTGACTTCTACTAGAGGAACCAACGACTTCCTCCTGACTAATCAGCTGAGCAGACATCAAAGTTCTCAAATCGTACGCCTTTTGGATTTTGTAGAAAAAAAAATAATTGACCTTACTATCTACTTTATCGTATTCGTAGCATATTATTTAGCTATCATTTAATGCTCAAATCCCACATAATATACTATAATCTAGTTTATAATTAATGTACCATTGAATTTATAGTGGAATTACTCTTTTCTCTTCTTCTATGTTCTTCTCTCATTCATGTTTCATTTTTTCTTGTATAAAGTAAATTTTAGTGAAGCCAATGAATGGATAAATCAGGATTCCACCACCCCAACTTGTAGAAGTAATAGTTTTCAAAAAATTTGCATTAATAAATACAATGTAGAGTCCAAAAATATAAAATAGTCCCTTCATTATTTCTCATGTTGCCTTACACCAATTAAAAATTTACATCATAATTTACTTTGTAGTATAAATATTATCAAAATTGATACATTGTTATATCTCAATAGCAATATATTCTTTAACTTATAATTATACTTTATTGCTACATGTTGGCCGAATAATATATATTATATGCAAGCTGTTGTCATTCATTTTTAAATGCCACATACACTGGAAGTCCTTCTGGGTGACAAGGGATCACATTACTTTCTTCCGTAATGCCCCGTCGTCGAAGGAGTCCGTAGAGCCTCAGCAAGCATATACTACACCAGATTAAGAGTTATTTCCCGTTTTGGTTGTGCTCAGAAGCAGCTATTGTCGGTTGATATCGATTCACAGATATAAAGGTATCACCGACGGCTGTTGGTGTTTGGAGATCATACTTCAGTCAATCAGGACTCCTCGTGCCTCAAATGAGTTGCAAATCCCCTTCAACGGAATTCAAATATCAAAAAAATCTAATGGTTCGGTGTGACCGCGCCCAAAATAGAGGTGGCCACGCTTAACCCCTGGCGTGACCACGCCCAAACCGCAAAGGAGGCGGACGACTCACAATGGGTGTAACCACGTTTGAGGTTGGCGTGGCCATGCCAGCTAGATAAAGAAACCAACATAATTACATTGGCTCTTGGGCGTAGCCACACTCAAAGTGCACCTGCGATGACTTTTAACTTACATGAGCACGCCAAGTTCAACTTTTCATGAACTTATTACATGTCGATCTCCCGAATTCTGGCATTAGCGAGCTGTAACCACTAGATAAAGCATTATGTGTGGTTCTTCACCGAATAATAACCTTTAGAGGAAACTCAGTCCTTTCTTAATGAGGCAACTGATCACCTCTTACCTTGAGCAAGAGATATTTGTCTCCCTTGAGCAGAAGCTGGGGGATCCGACCATTTTGAGAGCTCGGCACTTGGGAACGTTTAGATAACAGAGAGCAAAGGAAATCTTCATCTTTCTCAGAGAGAAAGAGAAGGGAAGTTGGTTCTTCCATTTGATCCTTCTTCTTTTTTTCTTTTTCTTTTCACCCATTGGTCTTCTTCTTTCTTTCCTACAACTCTCCATGAGTTGAGCTCGGGAAAGCTTTTTTTTAGCTTAGGAGAATGAGAAGGGTAGATGCTTCATCCTCTCCAGCAATGAGAGCTTCTTCACCACTTTGAAGAAGGAGAAGGGAGGCGGCTTCTTCACTCTCACCGTGAAAGAGCTCAGACAAGCCCAAAGAACTCGTCATCAAATCAAAGTTTTAGTGAGAAAACTTATAACCTGTGTCTTTTCTTCTTAGAAAGCTTCCAAGTTTTGTGTTAGAGAAGATATGATAGGTTTTGTGCTAGAGGAAGCCCCCATAGACTAGGAACTTTTCATGATTACCCTATGAATCCGCAAGCAAAAAACCCATTTCCCTTATAACCTTGACCTAATCGATTTGGAACTTTGTTAACTCGTGGTTGTTCGGTGGCTTCAAGGCTTCAACACTTGACAAATGGGTTGAAGCCACCTCGATCTAGAGAAAAAAGATTTTTCTCTGATCCTCATTCCCTAGATCATGAAGGCCACATCCGCACGAGAAATCCTTCATTTTTTTTAAGGTTTCTCTCTGACACAAAAGTTACTTCACTTTTTACCAAAAAACTAAAAGTAGGCCATCTGTTATGGAGAGTAACGAACGGTAGCTACTACTTTGAAATTTACTTTAGGTTCCACGTAAGATCACTAGGGCGAGTCATATTCATCATTAAGCATGATCAGGCCTTCATGTTGCATGTGTTTGCATCTATGCATTACATAAAATGATTTTTAAATGTGCAATAAAATACCCATTTTCCATGTTTTTTCGGTCGACCGCTTATGTCGGATTGATTAGCTATCATGTTTGTCGAATCGTTTAATCGGTCGCCACCGGTCTGATCGTCTCGATTGACCATTTCCATCGACTTGGTCAATTTGCTGCCACCAACCCAATCATAACGATCAACCCCTCCAGTTAACATGATTGATCGATCGCCACTGACCCAGTCAGTCAATCGATCGCTCCTCTATTGACATGATTGATTGGTCTTCATCAGCCTGATTGGTCAATTGACTGGTCCCATTGACTCAATTGATCGACCACCACCAGCCTGATTGGTCAATTGACTAATCCCATCAACTCAATTGATCGAGTAATGTGTTCTGATTGCATCAATCGACCTCCCTCATCGACTCAATCAATCGGTCACCACCGGCCCGAATGCAACGATCAATCACCTACATTGATGTGATTGATTGGCCCCCACCAGCCGTATCGCATTGATCAACCACCTTCATCAACATGATCAATCAACCACCACCGGCCCGATTGGTCAATTAGCCTTTCTTCTGTCAACTTGATCAATCATCTATCACTGGTTTGATTGACTTATTGACCAATCTCACTTGAATGTCACATTGTTGCATGTTTTTTCACATTGCTTGCCTTATCCCATTCACCCTAGCAGATTGTTGCGCGCTTGTGAGCATGTGTCCTCATGTGCTCATGATGAGTATTAGTGCCCCTCTTGAGCACAACACTTCGTGCATCTAATTCTTGACATCCATATGTCCTCGTGCACCACATAATATGTATTCTCACTTTTGCAGTCCTAGCTTTATTTTTGCATAACATCATGTATATTCAATGCCACAAGTTTGAGGTTTTCATTTGAGCATGTGTCCTTACACAATCAGAACAATCATTTGTCTTCTTAGAGGATGGCTTACACATCAAGCCTACCCAGTGTGTAATCCTCCTTAATGAGAATTATGCCACCTCACTTTTTATGTCAACACTTTGGAATGTCATAGATGTGTCACACTACAAGTCAAGCTCCTTGGCTCCTAAGCTCATCCAATATATGCCACCATATACCTGAGATGAATAGTTGTTATTAGGTGATCAATTATGTCTTGATATAATTTACGATATGCTGATCAATTTATATTTGCATGTGTATTCCATGATCGTCTCGATGAAAAATCATACCCATTAGTTGACTGGCCCATCGTTGGTCATGATGCCTTAACAAGCATTACTCGTGAGGACATCTCGATGAGCAATGTGAGTTAATGCATCATGAACAACACGCGTGTTAGATGTTGTGACTAGGATTCCAAATGGTAGATGGTTTGATGGGCTAGGGCTAGGATGTTAGGTAGTCCTTTTGATATTCTGTCTATAATTCTTTCTTGTCTTATGCCCCAGTCAGACATATTTCTCTTATTGCCTTTGTGTGTTTACTAGGGTGCAAGGCATGCACACTACCATATACAGGGGTGGTATTCTTGTATGGAGCCATGGCTAACAAGGAGAAACATAAATAAGTTAAAATAATGCATTTTATGAAGGTGCTTCCTCAGTTCTCCTCCAACTGGGCTTTGTCCACTACTTGCATGCCTATAACCTGTGTTAACCCGACTATTTTGCAAGTCAAGTCTTTTCTTAGACTTTTACCATGTACTTCTCAACGTCCTTAGGCTAAAATCTGTATAAAAAATAAGGTACAAACAGAGGTTCCAAGACACTTTCTAGGTGGAACCACATAATGGGGACCAAGTGCTGTAGGCTCATGTCTCGTACCTTAATTATGAATTCTCTTTGATGTATAACATTAAGACTAGGCATGTATATGTAGTTTATGACCTTCTTTTTCTTTTCTAGGATATGTTGCAGACCCAGCGAAACTTGACCTCTTAATCTTTATATTTAGCTTTCCTTTACAGTACGCAGTGTGCTTAAGATTTCCTCTTTCTTTGTTTGTAGTTTGTTTGAGAATCATTCAAAAAATACAATTTAGGTTCTCTAA